TATTTCCATGTACAACAATCCATGGTCCATTTACTCATAATCTGTGGTGCATTTACTCGCACTTCCTGTCTGCTCCAGCTCCGGCTGTGCTGTGGCCAACAGTGAGCTGCACAGTGGCGCCCGCCACTACGGTCCAGAGTTATGGTAGCTTCAGGGGGCCTTATGTTCGGGGAGGTCTTATTTTCGGGGGATGCCTTATCTTTCAGCAAGAGGCAAAACTGTAAGTAGGTCTTATTTTCCGGGGATGTCTTGCTTTCGGGGAAAATGGTAGTACAAAGAGCAAGACATATAACTGATTCAACAGTTTCTAAATGTACAATTTAGTGTCATTGATTACAATTCTTTCTAAGTTGTGTTGCCATTCTCACTTAACTTTTTTGAGTTCTTTAACATAAACTACAATTCTGAGCTAATCTTTTGAGTTTTTGTTGCCAATTTGATTGTATATGGATCTTAGAAGAGTACAATGCTCAAAGCATACCTTACTAATTCAATTAAGCTATTGCTTGGTTTTAAGATAATTTCAGGGGATATTTTTGGTTTAAGATTTAAAGGTTAGCAAACCCAGGGACAAGGGAACAACAAGCGATCCAAATTGGTGGTGAGGTGGGTGTGGGAGGCGTGGTAGGACATGATCAAGGGTAATGTAACAGAGGAAGTGCTGAAACCCTGGTGGGGACTGAGCATGATAGTGGGACAGGAGGAGAATCAAGGGAAATAGAGGAAAGAGCTGGGAGGCAAAGAGCATTTATAGAGGTCTAGATAAAGACAGGTACATATGCAATTATATTTATATGAGGATGGGGATAAATAGATCTATGAGCCTATATTTATTGGTTTAGTATTAAGGTAGCAGAGGGACATTGGGCCTCCACTCAAGTACTCCCTCAACGCAAGAATACTTTCTTCTATTAAATTGGCATTCTATGATGCTCACCTTCCCGACACAATCGCTGAAGACAAAGCGGGTGAATAAGCAAATGTGGTGAAGAAAGCGTCTGGGGTCTTAAAAGCTTGAAGATAAACAAGCGACCATCTAGCTCAGAAGCATCAAAGTCCACATGGAACACAACTTATCAACCTGTGTGATCACGAGATGTCGAACGGATCACTGAAGACAAATGGGTGCATAAGCAAATGTGGCGAAGAAAGCTGATGGTACCCGGCTATCAAAAAGTATAGCGTCTGAGGTCTTAAAGGCTTGAAGGTAATCAAGCGGCCATCAAGCTCAGAAGCAACAAAGTCCACATGGACGAAGCACACCAGCCTATGCAACCACGAGGTGTCGAAGGGATCAGGTATAAGGCATCATCAGAACAAAAAATCTTACCATAGTGAATGATCAGGGGAGTGCGGAGTGGAGACCCAAAGCCCATTAGTAGGCCACTGGAGATCCCCTTGCAGAGGGGTCTCGGGGAGGAGATGAGCCAGTCAGCGTGCGATGTAACAACGGTGAAAAATGCTTTAGTTTCTAAATGTTTCCTCCCCGCTCCCACTACCATGACTCGAATTCGACCTTGCAAGTCTGGCTAGACCAGAGGATGTACACTGGTACAGATAGGAACTGAAAATCCAGGGAATCCAGGGCGGATGAGCCCTACAGGACCAGTGGTGTGAGTGGCGAAACAGGGAGGGTCGAGGGAGAGTGGAGAGGAAAGAGGTAACCGGTTACAAGGAACTACGTATATGTGGCCTCCTCCCTGGGGGACGGACAACAGAAAAGTGGGTGAAGGGAGACGTCGCACAGGGCAAGATATGACAAAATAACAATTTATAAACTATCAAGGGCTCATGAGGAAGGGGGGAGCGAGGAGGGGGGAAAAATGAGAACCTAATGCCGGGGCTTAAGTGGAGAGAAAATGTTTTGAGAATGGTGAGGGCAATGAATGTACAATTGTACTTTACACAATTGATGTGTGTATGGATTGTGATAAGAGTTGTATGAGCTCCTAATAAAATGATTAAAAAAAAGATTTAAAGATTATATGGGACAATAGTTTTAGGAGTTCATCTAGCCTCCATTGCCCAGAGAATATAGAGTCCATGCGAATTTGAAATTAAGTTCTGTGTTACCCCGTTCGATCAGTGTTCGAATCTTTGGTCAACATGTTCAGTAGCGGTTGCCAGGCACATCTCTCATGGCAAAGAAAACATTTCTGCAGGGATGCAATTATCCTCCTTTTCTAATTATTCTTTTTCTTTTGCTCCAGGTGAATAGAGGTCAGCTGTGCTAACTTAGCTGCTTGCCAGCTTTTAAGACCCCAGACACTGCATAAACTAGGAGGTAGAACAGAAGCACTAAACGTTCTTAACCATCAAGCCAGTTCATCATAACGCCCCACAAAACCAGGGCCTCAAAGCAAGGAGCCAAATCCCATGAGGTGTTTAGTTTAGACACCTGTACTTTATTTTTGTTGTTGATGTTGTGCAACAAAAGTTTGAGTGCAAGTCAAAAAGTATTGCCACTCGGGTTGTAGTTCCTACTTGCATGTGGTTATTCCAAACCAAATATGCGCATAAACTTTGTGAGCAGTACATGGATACAAACAAATTTTCTCTGCAGTACACTTGTCTTAGTCTTGCTTAGAGTGGCTTAAAAAACATCTAAAAGCAGTATGATTTTGAGCCCCTCGAGAATGCCAACACAACCTTTTTGATGTGGTTTACATAAAAGACTTGAGATCTTCCTTCAGGGAAGGGTTACAATGGTGGGAAAATGCCACCTTCAGATGTGTACAGATGTAGTTAGAGGATATGTCAAACAACAGTAGCATCTACTTTGATGTTTTTGTTTAATCAAGGTTTCTATGATTTTGTAGCAATATAATTTGACGTCACCCTGCATAATACACAACTTTTGTCAGTTCAACTTTTTACTGGTGTATAACTTATTTGATAGCAGCTCTGAGAAGTAACTGTGTAGCACTACCTTTAATCAGTATACATTTTCTATCACCAGTAACCCTCCTTCTTATATACTTCGTCTTTAATTTTAACAAGATAAATTGTTATGTGAACAAATCTAGCTTCTAAAATATGATGGTTATATAATTTTGGAAGTGAAATCTTACTAATTTTTACTAAATATATCCCTATTAATTTCATAGTTATGTAGGTTGGGAAAATGAAATCAAGAAGTCTTTGCCTACTCACATTTTTAATTAGAGGTCAGAAGTGATTCTTTAAACAAATATGGGAATCATCATGTTATAAAGATTAGCCCAATAACCTCTTATCAGAAGAGTTACTAGTAAGGTATTGCAAACAAAGGAGTAAATATAGTTACTGATTATAATTAATGATTACTATTTTAAATATATATGCACATATTGGTTCACAAATGAAAATTCTATAGGACAATAGACACTGCTGAGGTGATGATATGCCTTGAAACTTGATTTCTTGAAAGATTTCCTGTTTTTTGTTTTGTCTTTGTTGATTTGAAGATTGACTACATTTTTCTCAAAGGCCAGAATAGCTTCTATTTTCCAATTTCTTTTTCCAACTGAAAAATTCTTTTCATATTATGAGTGCCCTTTGACTTTTTTTGTAGTACCGTTCCAAAGCTGTCATATCCTTATAAATAAACCATCTCAAAATTTCTTCAGAAGGGGCTTCTCTTGAACTTTTAACTCTCACTTACCATATATACTCGAGTATACACCGAGTTTTTCAGCACATTTTTATGCAGTTTTTGTGGTAAAATTAGGTGCCTCAGCTGATATTTTGGTCAGCTTATACTCGAGTATATATGGTATATTAAGTTTGTTGATAAGGCATTAAGGTGCAAAATTCTCTACCCTGTCTAATTTTTGAGTTTCATCTGGAGAAAACAAAGCCTACAGTGCTATTAGATGATTTTTCTGAGTTGGTTTGTGTTCCATTTCTTAACAGCATCACATGTAAAGTTCTGTTAACATTACAGTGATTGAAAGGGAGTGCTGACCTTTTCTACTTTGCTCCTCAGGTTAACTCAGTTTACTTAGGGTGAATCCATGACAATACTAGATTTTTGAGGTATGTGGACAGATAGGTGTGTGATACCTGAGAGCATTCTTAGGTAATACTCCTCTTTTTACCAGCAGTGTAAGCAAGAGGAGGAATACCAGTTGCTTCTAGAACAGTGGTTCTCAGCCTGTGGGTCGCGACCCTTTTGGATCAAACGACCCTTTCACAGGGGTCGCCCGATTCATAACAGCAGCAAAATGACAGTGATGAAGTAGCAATGAAAATAATTTCATGGTGAGGGGGGCACCACAACATGAGGAATTATTCAAGGGTCACGGCATTAGGAAGGCTGAGGGCCACTGTTCTAGAAGCAGGCCAGGTCCTTGGTCCTGCTGTTATCAGCTATCTCTTCTTTTGGAACACTGGGTTGAATGTGTCTCCAATTTATTAAGCAGTGTTTTATTGCCTTAGATCACACTGCTTTGTTACCCCCTTTTGAGTGTGATAAAAAATGTGAGAATAATGTCATATTTATTACTTCAGAAGTGAAAGGTATAAGAAAGTGAAGTGGGTATAATTTAATATGTTTATACTATCATATAAGTCATAATGGATTTCTGTGCATATAGAAGCTAAAGAATTATTCTAGTTGAACACAGTATTAAATGTTTTTACTACACATTTTTCTTTTTATGTATTAAATAAAGCATGTTAGCTTATCACAGTGCCTAAGTCTGCATCCTCTCTATTAATGTGGCCATTGATTGTTAGGTACGTTGTATGTGGATTCATTGCTAAAACCTTACGTGTTTTCCTCACCCTTTGCCACATACACACACATAATCCATATCACACTTTAGATTCTGAGAATTCCATTACCTTTGGTTCCCCTACCCCTGTGTCCCAGCCACGGTTTATCATTTCTGTCCTCACTGTTGTGCTTGGACTGTTCAGGTGGATGTTTTCCTGCTTTTCTTGCAGGTTTCTTTTTCTGTCCTTGAGTCACTGGCACCTTCTTTGTTGATTTATTTTTCCTCCCTCCCTCCCAACAGAGATTTCCATGCAGTATCGGCATGATGGCGCTTGTCCAACAACTAGTAAGTTGTCGAACCGGGTTGGTAACCCAGGTTTTTTACTCTTCATCTAGTGATTTTTCTAATATATATGCCACCTCTGAATCATTGCAATACAAAATTTCCAAATCCCACAGGTTCTTAGTCTAATAGATTTCTTTTTCCAGCAAAGATACTATTATATGTGCAGTATGTTTATTTCTATCAAATTGTGGGCAAGTTTTAATTATTGTTGGCTTATGATACTTATCAGAACTGTGGCTTCTGTGTTTTGTTTTCCATTTAGTCTTAATGCTCATATAATTTACAAATGTTTGTATGTTAACTTTCAGTAGCATTCTTGCTAAGACCTCTGTATATGTTGAAACCTTATTATAGAGCAATCTAGGAAATACGAATGTTTAATAGGCTTATATAATGAAATTTTTCTTTGTAATAAATATTGCTAGGTGTGACCTAAGGCAAATTTGCATATGCAGAATTACATCTTAGAGTGACTCACTTTTAGCCAAACATTTTATGAGTCTAGTAAAAGTCTTTTTAAAAGTAATTAAAGATATAATTATGTATTTATATTAAGGAAAGTATTGTCATCAACATGGCAATATGTCTAGAATTTTAATCTAAATTTAACATATTGGCAAATTAAATAATATATTAAAAATTTTATATTGTATAATAACTAAGATTTGTAGTTTTAATGATTCAAACTAATACATGTTAAATGTATTGAGGTTTTATTATACTGAGTCAGTCTGTGCCTTTGTATTTCTTCTGTATTTTGAGAATGATCTTAACCTGAAGTCCTTTTTTCCTTACTTGAAAGCTTTCTCAGAGTTGCTGAATGCAATCCATAATGGTAAGTTACATTAGAATCTTCTTTGATGGTTTCAGTTATCACAAAGGTTGCATTTTATAGACTTTCAATTGAAAGCTTGCATGTTATACTTATTAGTTGGATGAAATCCAGCACTACAGTCAGTCAGTTGTTCAACATATTAGTGAAAGCTTTATAAATTGCCTATTGATAGATGATGATAGGTCAGTTGTTTCCTGAGTTTGACTTACCTCTGTGAAAAAGCAGAATGACAATAGCGGCCTTTCTGAAAGTCTTACCTTTTTTGGCAAGTAGTGTTTTCAGCCCCTTTGGTGTAGGAACAGACTGCTTATCCCATGACTTAGAGAATTTCACCTTTAAGTTTTTTGTTTGTTAATGTATAGACTGTTTTTAATTATTTTAACCATTGGCAGAAAACGTTTTGAAGCTCTGCGTAAGATTTTCAATGGCTCCTTCCTCGGAAATGTGGAGCCTGAGCCCTTCTTCCTTGTCTGCCCTCAATCTGGAAGCTCTGCTGAAGCGGTTCCCTTTGGGTGGCCCTGCTGGCATTTGAAATACCAGTGGCAGCTTCCAGCATCACAGTAACTAACACAAAAGCCACCGTAATACAGCAAACTGACAGACAAGTGGTGGATGAATAGAAGCTAGCTTTTAAAATTACATCATATTTTTCACGTGTTCATACTGGAGTTGTGTCTCCCGTTCTAGGTTGGATTCCAAAATTTCCCAAGTGCCATATTTTTCACCTCTGCAACTTAATTACAATAAAGATGATTTTTTGCAAAAGTGTTTGAGGGTTGTTAGAGTGCCCAGACCCACTAACAATCAAGTTATTTTGACACACAGTGACTCTTAAGGGCAGAGTAGAAGTGCTGCCTGGGGTTTTCAAGGCTGTAAATGTTCACAGGAGCAGAAAGCCTCTTCTTCCTTCTTAAGGACCAGATGGTGGTTTACTACCAACCCTGCCAAGTTAATGACCTAATGTGTAAACCAGCCATACTACCAGGGTTCCTCTCAGTTACCCCCGAGCCTTCTGCAGTCTTTTAATGTACACATTGAGTGTCATCTTGTTATTTTAAGCCAGCTAAGTTGCTTAAGCTTTTTCCAACACATTATCAGTGGCTTTATGAAGTTTTGCATATTTTACTAATGCAGTTTAATTTGCAGTCCACTTGTATTGTGTTTGGATTACTCTGTTAGATGCTTACAATTTCAACAGCTTGCAAGAGACTAATGGCATGATGCACAGGCATGGACACTAGTTTTGATTTGAGGGTAGGTGCTGTTAGGTAGTGAAACCATTTTATAAATGACCTTTTTATTAACAGATAGTTATTTAAAGTCATTTCTATATAATACTTTTCTATGCAACCTGTAACTGCAGAGGTTATAGGTCATGAATACTTCATTTTTTGAACATTAGGCATCAAATTTAGAAGAGAAGGAACTGGAAGTGTTCTTAAAAATAATTTAAACATGCTACCATTCTGGAAGCATACAAGCTGAAGGTTTTATCACCTTTCGTGGTTTGCATAGTGTATTTAGACTTGTTCTTTACTACTTAGATATTACGATTTGGAGACTGAAAGTTTCTAAAAGCAGATGTGAAGTAAAAAGAAAGCCAGGGTTCTTATGGAAGCAATCGTGAATGAACTCTGTTGATACCATTATTAATGGCGAAAATGCTAGTTTGTATTAATTTGGGTGTGATTGTCAAGTTTATATCAATGTCACAGGATTAGTATTATAAACAATTTGTCTTAAGGTTTTGAGTTTTGTGAAATTGTTTTGAGAGAGAACTCTTATAATTTGATCAGATTCTTATATTTTATTGGTCAAAAACAAAGAAATAATAGGGTGATATTTTTAACCGCAAGGCAAGTATCTTATTGATAACTAGTGATAACCAGTGGTAATATTCATCCTGTAGGGGTTTGGTGGGGCTTTCTACTCCTATAAAGAGTTGCAGTCGGGGCTGGGGGAAAGATAGTGGTGTTAACAAACCCAGGGGAAAAGGAACAACAAGTGACCCAAATCGGTGGTGAGGAGGGTGTAGGAGGCCTGGTAGGTCGTGATCGAGGGTAATGTAACCAAGAAGAATTACTGAAACCCAAATGAAGACTGAGTATGATAGTGGGACAAGAAGAAAGTTAAAGGAAATAGAGGAAAGAACTAGGAGGCAAAGGGCATTTATAGAGGTCTGAATAAAAGCATGCACATATATAAATATATTGATATATGAGCATGGGGAAATAGATCTCTGTGCCTATATTTATAGGTTTAGTATTAAGGTAGCAGATGGACATTGGGCCTCCACTCAAGTATTCCCTCATTTCAAGAATACTTTGTTCTACTAAATTGGCGTTCTATGAGGCTCACTTCCCGACACAATCGCTGAAGACAAAGCAGGTGCATAAGCGAGTGTGGTGAAGAAAGCTGATGGTGCTTGGCTATCCAAAGATATCAGTTATCAGGCATCAAAGAACAAAAAATCATGCCATTGTATGCTCACCTCCCTGATACGATCACTGAAGACAAATGGGTGCATAAGCAAATGTGGCGAAGAAAGCTGATGGTTCCCGGCTATCCAAAGATATAGCGTCTGGGGTCTTAAAGGCTTGAAGGTAAACAAGCGGCCATCTAGCCCAGAAGCAACAAAGCCCACATGGAAGATGCACACCAGCCTGTGCGATCACGAGGTGTTGAAGGGATCAGGTATCATGAGAACAAAAAATCATAGAATTGTGAATCGGGGGGAGTGTGGAGTGGAGACCCAAAGCCCATTTGTAGACCACTGGAGATCCCCTTGCAGAGGGGTCTCGTGGAGGAGACGAGCCAGTCAGGATGCGATATAGCAATGATGAAACATGCAACTTTCCTCTAGTTCTTAAATGCTTCCTCCCCACCCCCCTATCATGATCCCAATACTACCTTACAAGTCTGGCTAGACCAGAGGATGTACACCAGTACAGATAGGAATTGGAAACACAGGTAATCCAGGGCGGGTGATCCCTTCAGGACCAGTGGTGTGAGTGGCGATACTGGGAAGATGAGGGAAGGTGGGTTGGAAAGGGGGAACCGGTTACAGGGATCTACATATAACCTCCTCCTTGGGGGATGGACGGACAACAGAAAAATGGGTGAATGGAGATGTCGCACAGTACAAGATATGGCGAAATAATAATTTGTAAATTATCAAGGTTTGTGAGGAAGGGGCGAGCGAGGAGGGAGGGGAACAATGAGCTGATGCCAGGGGCTTAGGTGGAGAGCAAATGTTTGGAGAATGATGATGGCAGTGAGTGTACAAATGTGCTTTACACAATTGATGTTTCTATGGATTGTGGTAAGAGTTGTATGAGCTCCTAATAAACTATTTTAAAAAAACAGTTACAGTCTTGAAAACTTAAAAGTACAGTTCTATCTTGTCCTGTCGCTTTGCTCTGAGTTGGCATTATCTCGGTGGCAGTGAGTTTGGTATTTGGAGAGTATTAAGGGAAGCTGGAGATACTCGTTTGGACTGAAAAATTTAAGATCCTTATGTTTGTGCTTTCTCTCTTTAAATTGTTAGCTTTTCTTTTTGTCTTCATATTATTGTATACTGAACAATAAAAAAGCGACACTGAGACTTGTCAGGGGAAAGAAGTAAAAAGAAAAATTCATGTTTCTCATTTTCTTATATTTTCTATGGTTGCTATAACATGATTACAAACGCAATCCAAATTGTTCTTGAAACATTATAAGCTTATTATCTTAGAGTTCTATAGATCATGGGTCTTATTGGGCTAAAATCATGGTGACAGTCACTATGGTTTATTCTTTTGTTGTTGTTGGTTTTTTGTTTTTATTTTCCCCCTGATGCATCTAGAGACAAATTTATTTCTTTACCCTTTGCAGCTTCAGGAGGCCAATCCTTTTCATAGCTTTTGTCCTCTGTCTTCTGTATTTAAAGGCAGCAGGGTTAGTCCCTTACTCTTTCTACACCATTGTCTGTGGTTTTCTGGCTAGATTGAAATTACTCAAACTATCCAGAGAAATGTCCCCATCTTTATCACATTTCTAAAGTTCCTTTTCCCATGTAGAGTGACATATTCATATTCAGTGGTTCCAAGCATGAGGGTGGGTAGATTTCTTTTGGGAGCAGAGTCAATATTTTGTCTACCAGATTTCCACTTCCTTTTACTTTTTTACTAGTTTTGTTAGCACTTCATCTACATGTCATACAATTCAATAATTCAATTATATCAGCAAAAGTTGAACCATTATCACTCCATTCAGTTCTAGCACATATTCTTCTCTATACTCATTATTATCCATGTAATTATTCATTTCTTCTAATTGTGGCATAAGCGCACAGCAAAGCATTCTCCAATTCAACATCTTCTACATCTATAATTCAGCGCCATTGATTATACTCTTCGTGTTATACAGCCATCATTGATATCCTTTTCCAAATTATTCCACTGCAATTAACATAAACTTATTGCACCCTTAAAGTGAATTTATAGAGTTCTAAATAGAGGCAGGTACTTCTGTAAATATATTTATATATGACGGGGAAGTAGATCTATGTACCTATGTTTATAGATTTAGTATTAAAGTAGCAGATGGACATTGGGCCTCTACTCAACTACTCCCTCAATGCAAGAACACTTTGTTCTATTAACCTGGCATTCCATGATGCTCACTTTCTGGACACGATCGGTGAAGACAAAGCGGGTGCATTAGCAAATGTGGTGAAGAAAGCTGATGGTGGTGCCTTGGTATCCAAAGATATAGCGTCTGGGGTATTAAAGACTTGAAGATTCACAAGCGGCCATCTGGTTTAGAAGCAGCAATGCCCACATGGAAGAAGCACACCACCTGTGTGATCACAAGATGTCGATGGGATCAGGTGTGAGGCATTAAAGACCTGGAACGAAAAATCATAATGTGAATGAGCGGGAGTTTAGAGTAGAGACCCAAAGTCCATCTGTAGGCAACTGGGCATCCCTTTACAGAAGTGTCACGGGAAAGAGACTAGC